CCTCCTCCTCGACGGGCATTGCGCGCACAGTCCACGTTTCGGGGAGTAATATGGGCCTGATCTGGTCAATCAGAGCCATGAGCAGATCTGCACGGTGTTTGGGTTTCGCCTGGCTCAGTGGAATGTTAGGAGCGTGGCAGCCGTCGCGGATCGCTGCCAAAAGTGCTCTTCGAGGACTGTGAGGTGGCTGGCATGACATGGACATGAAAGCAGGGCTCGGGCGGCGGTCTCCCCTCACCGCCGGGGGCTGGGGGGTGGGGGTGTTGTGTCGTGTCTCACTTGAGTGATCGCGCAGGAGCGTCATTGTTCTCGCACCATTCTTGCCGCAACACATGCACAAGCCGCCGGTAATGCGCCGCTCAATGGCCGCACTTTTCGCAAAGCTGCTTCACCGCTGCGGTGAGATGAGCGCGCGGACAAAGCGTGTGACAAGTGGTAGAGCGTCTGATAGTAAGCTGGTAGGTGGCAGGCACAGAGACGCGACGAGCAAGGGCACGTATGTCATGGTCGTGTCGGAGTCGTGCGCCCCGCGTTTCCGTGAGGCACTGGTGAAGTGACGGTAGCTGGTGCGTGTCGCCAGCGTATCTGATACATTGGGCTGGTGACTTGCAGCTGTTTAGCACCCGGAGACCATTTTGCAAATGTGAGCATGACCTGATGGTACGGGAGTGAATGGCGTGCCAAGCATTGGTCTGCAGGCTTGTCTTGGAGTGTGATGGGAGCTGGAGGACAATGAGAATAACAGGTCACGCGGCGAACTGCGACACGGGTGGGTGGGTGAGGAGACAAAAGACAGTCACGCACCCTCGAACCAAACATTTGCTGTTCGGAATATACCCAGTTTGGTATTGTGGTCGGCCACCGAGAGGAGCTAGCATGTTCTGGCACGTCTCGCGGGCACCGCTGGTCCCAATCTCGCGAGCCTTGAATGCCAGACTTGTTGCGCTGTGTCGTGGATACTGCGCCCCCCGATCCACATTGGAGCAAACTATCATCACAACCAAGTCGAGTCATGTATACACGTTATCTAATGTCCGCTGCCTGCAGCGCGTGTTGCGCTATGCACCACTGGGCGCGCGGCTCTGCCGCGCCGCACTGCTCTTCCGCGGCCCGCTCGACTTTCGTCTGTCGCGCTGCTTCTCCTGGTCCTCCTTCTCCTGCTTATGCTCCTGCTGGTACTGGGCGTACACGCGCGCCCAGAGCGGGTTCGGGGGGACCTTGCCGACAAGGTCGCGGAGGGCGTCCATCCTTCATGTCAGCACTGCTAAGAGGGGAGCCACTCACCAGACGAGCTTGTCGTTCTCCTTGTCAGCCGAGAAGCTGATCGTGTCGCCGTTCTTGAAGCGGATCTCGAAGGAGCGCGGCTGCGCGCCGAACGGGTCATAGTCGCCTCTTGTGCGCTCGTTCGAGTCGATCACCTCGGTCGCCTGGCTCAAGTCGATGCGTGCCACCTCCTTCTTTGTGACCTCGCTGATGCCGAGCAGGTGGCCGCCGACGAGACGCAGCAGCCGGCGGCGGGGCACGCGGCAGTCGCCGCCGACCTGCGTCAAGATGCCCTCGTGGTACACATTTTCGTGCCACAGATGGTACCGGATACCCTTGATTGTCTCATCTATGGACCCGGGAAGCTCGGAGATCGCGAGGCCGGGAAGCGCGGGCAGGCGCAGAATTTGCATTGTGATCTTCGCGACCTGCTTCCGCTTGGGGCCCTCGGGCCCAGGCACCTTCTTGTGCATCGCGAACATGGGGTACCGGATCTCGAGGACCTTGGCTTCACAGAGGTGCGCGATGGGCTCGATGGCAATGTTCGTCTTTGCCAGCACCTTGTTGCCGTCGCCGCCCAGGTAGTCGGCCAGCGTCTCGGCGCGGGGTTTTGACGGCGCCGCCGCCTTAGGCGGGACAACCGGCTTTTGCGTGGGTAGGGCGGCGACAGATGACTGCGTGCGCTGGTGCTTCGCTTTCCGTGGGGAGGAGAAGAAGGCGCGGAAGCCGCTGCGCGACGCGAGACTCGAGACCGGCGTCTCGGCACGTGGGGGTGGAGGCGGCGGAGGCGCGAGGCGCTTTGGCTCAATGACGGGCGCTCTGAGCGCGCGCTCCATCGCAAGAATGTGCACATCACGCCGCACCTCCAACGTGAGACAAAACTCAGAGTTGTCGAGCTCAGTTAGGCAATACTCTCTGTGGATGTTGGCGCCCTCCTCAAGCACAAAGTATGGCGTGAGTATAGTGTCGACGCCATTGGACACGCGGATGGTGCAGAATGTTGTTTCGTTTGGGAGAGGCATGTCCAGCGACTCGATGCCTAGGACCTTGACGAAAACGAGCGTCTTGGGCTCCTCCTCCGCTACGGCCTCGGAAGTCGCGCTCGCTGTGCGCTCCTTGAACGCGCGAAGCTCGGGGTCGGGCTGCGTCGCTGGGCGCCACACGCGTCTGCTACCGTCCTCAAGGTCGCCAGCCTGCGGCCGCAGGCCGTCCGTGTACGTCGCCCGCACGACGCGGTGGTTTTCCCGCACACGATACGAGCGCTGCGACCCTATCTGGTCCAGCTCCTGGCGCACAGAGTCCATGGCGGCGAAGCTGCTGTGGCCCAGACCCAGCGAGACTCTAGGCGTCTTCTTCGTCCGTGTAGGGTGGCGCTCCTGTGCCGGAGCGGGCGCGGGCTCAATCTCTCCCAAGCTTGCGCTGCGCCGCCGAGACCTACGCGTCTGGGCGGTTGCGATCTCCGTGTTGACGATAGAACCAGAGCTAGGTGCTGGAGGCGGGTGCGAGGGCTCCGCGGGGGTGAGGACGCTCATCGGCCGGGCGATCCTGCTCGGCGAGTCGTACGAGCGCACAGTCGCGCCTCTGGCTTCCGAGCCGGGCGACTCGGGCTCCGAGTCCTCGCCGAAGGATGCCGCGATGCGATCGAGCGCTGACCGCGGGCTGTCGTCTTGACCATCGCGCAGCCGGGCTAGGGCGCTTGGCGATCTGGTGCTCAGCAGCCCGGGCGGAGCGGATATTGGCCGCGACGAGGACATTGAAGCCTGGCTGTCCAGAGACGAGGTGGAGCCGCCCCGCCGGTGCCGGGCAAAAGCGGGCGAGGGCGGGGCGAAGGAGACCCTGTTGGGCGACACCACGCGGGGTCTGTCTGGAGAGACGAGAATCTGGGTAGTAGGCGAGTCCGGGGACGTGAGCGTCAAGTCAGATCTTGACCGTTGCTCAGACGCAGCCGCCATGCGCCTGCTCACGTTCTCCAGAACGGCCGCGCGCGAGATGCGTTCACGAACGCGTGTGTTTGTGCTTGCCTCAGCGGCGTCTCTCGTCGGAGCAGGGCCAAACTCCATCGCGCGTGGAGCGTTGACAGGCGGCGAAGCAAGCGGCGAGGTCGCACGGGATGGGGTGAGCGGACCGTGCACGGAGTGACGCGTGGGCGTGGTCACCGGTGATGCGCCCGTTCGAGGAGGGGTGGCCATAGGTGGGGCGGCACGGCGGCTCGGCGTGGCCAGCGGCGCGGTAACGCGCGGCGGTGTGTCGAGGGGCGACTCGCGACCAGCCCATGTGGAGGCCGGGGCACTGTAGCGGTTTGGCGTTGACGGGCTGAAGCTCGGGCTTGCTGGGGCTGAGGAGAATGACGAGCGCGTGGGTGTGCCTGGGGCGGACGGCGATGGAGACGTGATAAAGGTTGTGAGCTTCGGCGCCTCGGCAGTGGCATCGCTGTCGACCGAGAGCTCGGACTCCGGCAGGTCAATAGACAGGTCGCCGAGGTCGAAGCTAGGGATGCGGGGGCTCTCCTCGCGCTCCTCACGCGGGCGGCGGGGCGGGGTAAGTGGGTCGTCGAGGTCCTCGCCGGGGCTGCTCGAGTCGACGTCGATCTCAAGCTGCGTCTGCTCGAAGGAGGGCGACTCGAGCTGCGGTGCGTAGTTGGTAATCGGGAGGGGCAGCTGTGGCGCGATGTCGGAAACGCGTGGGCGCGGGGCCTCCTCAAAATCCGACGTCTCGCTCATGAGCGGCGACGCGCTAACATCCGGCAAGGCGTACTCAAGGTCGAGGTAAGCCGAGGCGGCGTTGCGCACCTCAGCAGCCGACGAGCTCGGGGCCTCGTCCTCGCTCTCAGACTCTGGCTGCGTCTCCTTGTAGCTGACAGGGCTCGGGAGGTCAATAGAGGCAGGGGGAGGCGGGCGCGGCAGGCCGCGCCTGGGCGTCTCCTCCTTCTTGGGCGTGCTCTTCGTGGCCCGGAACTGTGCCATGCGACGGCTCGGACCCTGTAGCTCTGGCACGTCGGAGACCTGGCGGTTGGATACGCGGCGGGGACGTGGGCTGCCGGACACCCTGCGCGCCTGGTCGGCCTTTGCGGCGGGGCTGGCGACCACGGCGCCGAAGACGTCCTCGCCATCTCTCTCGGAATCGGGCAGCGACTTGAAGGGAACGGTGGGAGATTCGTCGGAGTCCGACTGGGGATGGGCATGCATGGGCGATCCGGCTTTAGGGAGAGTGCCAGGGAGGCCAAGGCCAATTTGTTGCGTGGCAAGGAGTCGACGAGCCTGGATTCTGTCGTGGTGGGAGGTGCGGCCGAGGGGTACGCCGTCCTCGCTGCGCTCCGCGGGCTTGACTAGGACCTCAGTAGCGGTCTGAATGGTCAGGAAGGGGTCCAAGAGCGGGCCCTCTTGGTGTGCGTGAGGGCCAGGCGACGCCTCGTGCGGCGCGCGGGTAGCCGGTTGATGTGCGTCGGCGTTAGGGAGCAGGGTGTGGTCCTCGTTGCGCGGGAGGTTGGGCTGCGGACCCGGGTTGATGTGGGCCGTGTAGGTATGCTGATGCTTCGGTGACGACTGGACATCGTCGATCGAAAGGTCATTGAACTCGAATAGAGGTGTCGCGAGGTCCTGCTGGTCGAAGGATTGCTCCATAGGAATCTCGAAGCGATCGTGGTCCTGGAAGACAGGCGTCTCGCCATCCATTACATCCCCGGCGTCATCACCGAAGATCTCGTCCATGAAGTCGGCGGTCGCCGACTCATTTCCGACGTGTTCTTCGTCAAGTGAAGTGTCATTGACGACCGTGCGCATCCAGTCGTCCTCGTGCTCGGCCTCGTCAGTCCAGTCTTCGTCCAGGTCGTTCTCGTAGACGTAGCTGTCGTTGAGCGACGTCTCGGCGCTCGGTACGTCAAACTCCTTAATATCGGGCACCTGCTGGAATGTTACAGTTTTGCGCGTGGGCGACTCCTGGCCGTAGCGTCGGGGGCCAAGGAGACGCTTGGATGCAGAGGCGAGCGATGACTTGGTCGGGGTGCGGCTGGGCGTGGCTGACGAGTTCGAGCTGCTAAGTGCAGCGCGGTCATCACGCAACGGAGAGGAAAGGACGGTCGCACTCGGCGCCATGCTGGGTGATGAAGAGGGCGACATGGATGTGCGGCCGTGGGCCAAGTTCTTGGAGGGTGAGGCGCGGCGAGTGCCGCTCGAAACGCGACGGCGAGGGGGCGAGGCCATCACTTCCTGGGGCTCGTCGTCGCGCTCGGGTGATGAGGCTGAGTTGCTCCGTCGCTCAACGAAAGGAGAGTGCGTGACATACTCGTTCTCGACAAGCGCCTTGTAAGCCATGCTCTGCCGTGGGAGCTTCTTCTTGCGAGAGACGGGCGGGCTCTCGTTCTCCTTACTGCCGGAGACCTTGCGCTCGGCGCTCGTCCGGCGGGCTGACGTCTTGCGTTCGGCGGAAACTCGCCGAGTTCCGTTCACCGCAGAGCCTTTGTTGATGCCGAGACCGATGGCGCTGCGAGGCGTGGCACCGCTCCCTTGCGCTTTCACGGGAGCCTGTCCCATCACACGGTTGGGTGTACGGCGTTCATGGATTACGCGAGACGGCGACACGTCGATTCCGTTGGACAGCTGACCTTCGCGGGTTGCGAGGTTCTTGAACGGTGAGTTGGCGACGAGGCTGTTGGTGGCCATGTGTCGGAAGGAGCCGGAGGTACGCCGCGGACCGCCTCCGGCACCTCCTTGGGACGTAGCTGACTCGCCGGTGCCTTGCGGGATGAGAGGGCTGCCAGCGTTGGAGCCGGAGCGCTTGTGAATCTGGAGAGGGGACCAGCCCTTGGCGCTCGAGTTGAGCACCTCTCGGCGGGCGGCGACGGCACTGTTGTCGTGTAGCTGTAGCCGGCTAGACGGCGAGGTCACTCGTGGCGAGTCCGCAGACATGTTGGGATGGCAGGGACAGTAGGTGACTTGTCGAAGTGTTAGGCAACTATCGCATGAGATTGACGATGCGATGGCGAGTCGTCTGGGAAATGGCCGTTGTGAGATGCCGATGGGGACTACAGATGTTGTTGTCGAAGGTTAAGGTACTCGGTGGTAGATGATGAACAACCGCGGGTAGTGTCGAAGGATGTGTCGCGTCGAACAGTTATGTAGGTGTGTCGGGGTGGTGTGATGGGACTTACGGAGGGCGAAGACGGAGCGAAGAGAGATGGGGGAGGGGGGCGACGGCAAGAAGAGTGCCAGCGGCAGGGGTGTTTGTCTTGTTTACATGGAAAGCAGCCGCGTGAGAGCCCCATTCTCATTATTTTATCATAATTATCTCTATTTACTCCAAAGTTCCAGCCATGTCCGCGCAAATGAGCTCATGTCCTCCCCGCCCTGACGTCAGGATAACGAGACTACACGTGGCATCCGCGTGGCGCGGACCAACCTCGGGCTCGTCTGACGCGTTGGGTCTTGAGCGATGGTCACCACCACTTCGTCTGTTTGCCACCTCACCTCAACCATGAACACGTCCCTTCTGGCATTGCAGGTGCGCTCGACAGGTCGAATCACAGCTAACGACAGAGCCAGTACTGGGCCGTGCGGGACTACCTCTCCCCTGTGCGTGGCCATACGTAGCTGGGTCTGATGACAGGTACTCCGTGAAAGCAAGTTCAAGGAGCATGGTCGTATCACACCAGGTGCGTTCTCCCGCGCGCAACTACGCGTCTTTCTGGGGCTGGCTGACCTCAGAGGAGTTTGTCGCCGCCGGAGACTTCCTTACGTTCAAGTTCCCTGTGTGGCAGTGGTGCGTCGTCATCGCGGAGCAGGCTCGTGCTTACTCCAGGGAGAAGGGGGAAGCGGGACGCGCGCGCGACTTCCTCCCCGCCGACAAGCAATATCTCATCACGCGCAATGGTGGGTACTTGGCGTTGTGCGCGTCGAGGCAGCGTGGAAGGCTGCATGACAGGCGTGACACGTCTACAGACGCTTCCGCACGGGCCGGGCTCCGTCGCGCAGGCGGGAGGAAGGTGGCGGCAAGATGGGCGATGTGGTTGCATCTGGTATCCTCATTCGATCAGCGACTTTCTTGCTTGTCACACCAGCCGACTGCTTTGCGCGCCTGCGACGGACAGTCGCTTGGATCTCTTGCTGAGGCTGACCCCAGTGCCTTGCCTCCGCCGGGCCAACGCGCTGAACTACACCGACAATGATGAGGACGCGGAGAAGCTCTTGAGCTTCTTGGAAGAGGCCGACGCTGCTGAGCCTGACGGCGAATGGGTCGCGACGCACATGGGTAGAGGTAAGCTTGTCTGGCCCCTTTGGGTGGCTGACAGCAGCAACGCAGAATGAGGAGATGGCGGAGATCCCCGACTCGCCGGGGCTCAGTGCGCAGACGGCTGGTCTGAACATTGGCGAGGATGACCCAATCCCAGACATGGACGATATTCCGGATATGGATGACGAGGGGCTTGAGGAGGGTGAGGACGATGCAGCGGTCCGGCCTACCCAGTGAGTGTGGTGAATTGGGTTGCGGATGTGCCGCAACTCGTTGCGAGCGCCGTCTCTGATCCCAGCGATTCGTCCAACCTCATCCAGGTGCGCACGTACGACTGCTACATCTCGTACGACAAGCACTACCAGACTCCCCGCTTCTGGCTGTTCGGTTACGACGAGAACAAGAAGCCGCTCACAGCAAAGGAGATCTTCCAGGATGTGCCAAGCGAACACGCTTTCAAGACAATGACGATGGAGGCGTTCCCGCACAGCGGCACGCAGCTTGCTTCCGTTCATCCGTGCAAACACGCAAGTGTGATGAAGAAGTTTATCGACCGCATGGAGCAGCAGGACACACCCGAGGGCTCGACTAGCTCGCCACCAGGCAAGAAGCGCTGGCTCGGCGGGGTCATGCGCAAGGTGACGGGTGGAGACAAGCCGCCTAAACCTGACGCCAACGCCAAGGAGGAGGAGGAGCCGAGTGGTGTTCAGGTGGACTTCTACCTTGTTATTGTGAGATATCTTGTTCTGAGCAGTGCTAACTCCAGTTCCTTAAGTTTATCGCTAGCATTGTGCCCACCATTGAGGTGGACAGCACGACCGCCACGTCTTTTTAATGACCATGTAAAGAGTTACCAGAGACTTGCTCGTTAACATTCGTGATGGTCGTACAATTCTACAAGCGTGTCGTGTCAAACGAGGTGTGAGTGCGCGGCATGCGTGGGTCGTGACATGGGGTGGCAGGTCACATTTTGGTCGTCATGGGAGCGTGAGGCGCTTAGTAAGTAAGGCCTTAATTGGGCGTGAGGGGCGTTGTTGACGGATTCGACGGAAGGTCATCGCGCGTCGTTGTTGCACGGGGGCGAGGGCGTCGTTAGGCACTCGGTTGGAATGGAAGGCACGTCGTCTAGTCCTTGCTGATGATATCAGCCAGGCACTTTCATAGAAGCTCACCTGCGTACGAGCTTACGCATCCAGCGCCCGACGCGACTATCGGCGAAGACGCGGTGATTCCGCTCCTCCTCAAACTCGGGGACGACGCTGAGGCTGAGCGTGCTGGCGGCGGCGGCCTGCGCCGATCGCTGCAGTTTGCGCTGCACACGCGCATGCGCCGCGCTACTTGCGCGCAACGGCTCGCGCGCCTCATACCCGCGCGGCTCGTACATCCTCGCGTCGGCGTGCGTCGAATGCGAGTCACCGCTGCCGCTGCGGCTGGGGCTCTGCGGGCTGTGGCTGGGGCTGGGCGGCGAAAGGTGTGGTGAAGACGGGGCGGATTCGCGCGTCGACGTCGAATAGCGCGGGAGGTTGGTCATGCTTGCCGCGAAGAGGGGGCGCCCGGGGTCGGCGCGGTACACGTTCTTGAAGCGCTCGGCGTCGGATATGGGCAGCGAGGAGCGGTTGCGCTTCTTGAAGAGGCCGAGGGACGCGACCTCGTCCGGCGCGGGGATGGGGTCGAGGGCGAGCGAGAGCGGCACCGACGGCGGCGGGACGGGCGGCGTCGCGTACAGCGGGCGCGGGGGGCGGGATGCCATTTCGAGAGGGGAGAGAGGGGAGAGAGAGATGGGAGTGAGGTGAGAAGAGAAGAGGAGAAGAGATAGCAAGATGAGATGGCAGCACTGTTGTCGGAGCGGAGGAGGAACAGGACGAGGCGGATGCAGGGAAGGTGAGCGCCACAGTTCGATCGCAGCGCCGCGGCACCCGTCTCCCGCCCTATACCATTTAGCAGCATCCTGAAACGGACATGCAATTGAGCAGTGCGTCTCACGCTAGTGCCGTACGTGTTCTTACGTGTGCAGTGCCGACATTCTGCGTCGCGATAGGCATAGCATCGTCGATGCCGGCAAGTGGAGTAACAGTGGCGACGGAGAGGAGGTGGAGGAGGCAGAGGAGGCAGAGGAGGACTGGGAGGAGAAGAGTCAGGGCACGGGATGTCACCCGCCACGCCCCGATCAAGCGCCGCGTGGGTAAGGGTCGGTATGCTTCTCTGGTCCTCATGTCTGAGGAGGTTCCAGTGATTTGCTCTTCGAGGCCACGGCTGGCAGACGTAAGTCGCAACGTGACGGTGACAGTGACGAGTGACAAGGGATAGTGCTGCCCGGCGTGCTGGCGTGCTGGCGTCCCGGCGTCTGGCAGTCTGGGGCTTGGTGCAGGCGAATACGGACAGCAGTCCCAGACTGACTCGCTCTGAATCACAAGGGTAGTCACTTGCCCTCTCCCTGCCATCTCTCAATCACCGCCTAAAATGACACTAGATTCGATCAACATCACATCTATGATACTACTAACTGGCACAAACATTACCGGGCGTTTCGGGGGCTGCCTAAGGCGCCCAGCCGCGTCCGCGCCTACTTGGGCTCAAACCCCCGCCGCCGCTTCGCCTGGTCCTCCTTGAGCGCGCTCATCGCGGCATGCGTCTTGATCTGCAACGCGCCTTCGAGCGAGTACTTGCCCTTGCCGACGTGCGGGTTGGCGACCGGCAGTTTGTTGTGCATGATGACGTCGAAGTTGGCCTGTGCGTTGGCCGCGTCGCCGCGCCGCGCGTACAGCCGCCCGTACTCGTAGTGGTTGTGGAAGAGGATGTAGTGGTCGAGCTTGACGCGCGGCGCGGCGTCGACCACGGCCTGGAAGTCGGCCGCGGCGCCCGCGTCCAGCGCCGCCGTGCCGGGGTCCCCTGGCTGCGGGGCGAGTGCGGACGCCGTCGCCTCCGGCGGCTGGTACGCCGCGACGAACTGCACGCACGCGCGCAGGAAGTGGCCGAGCACGTAGTCTGGCGTCAGCGGAGCAGCGGAAACACTCACCGTCCCAATACTGGTCGCCGGTGCCCCATTCCTCTGGCGTCGAGGCTTCGAGGCGCGCAAGCTCGGCGTTGATGTGCGGCAGCCACTTGGACACGAGCACGCGCCGTGGCGTGTGGCCCAGCGAGCCGAAGACGTACGCCAGCTCCATCGCGGGCAGGAACAGCATGTGGCCCTGCGCGAGATACTTGCGCCCCTTGCGGTTCGCGAGCTTTTCTATTGGCAGCGACTTGCCGGCGATCTTCTTCGTCAGCTTCGGCAGGCTTTCGATGAGCGCGACGGCGTCCGCCTCGGTCGCGTCCGGCACGTCCGCGCCTGCGGCGACCAGCTCCATGATGTTCACCGCCGTCGCGTACGTGTACACTGCCGCGGACCAGTTGCTCTCGCGCCGCAGGATGTCGAAGCACTGCCGCGCCCCGTTCCAGTCCGCCAGCTGGAAGTAGTTGCACCCGTAGTCCCACAAGCACATGTGCTGCAGCTGCACGTACTCGAGGTCGAGATCCAGCGCCTTCTGCAGCGACTTGTTCGCGAGCTCGGGCTCGCACTCGTTCGTGTGCAGCCGCGCCTGGAAGTACAGGAAGAAGATGCCGTCGGGGTACCGGCGCATGTTGTATGCGAGAATCTTTCTCGCGGCGGGGATGTCGACGCCGGACACGGGCATGAGCACGGAAATGACGAGGTGGAACGTGAGCAGAATCATGTCGCAGATCGGCCGGCGCACGCCCTCGTTCTGCTCGGTGTACGCCGGCAGCTCCGAGTCGTCGCTCCACCCGCCCGCGCTCATGAGCGTCTTGAGCGCGATCGTCCGGTCGCCCGCGTACCCGAACACCTCGGCGACCTTGAGTACCTTGCCCGGCAGAAGGGAGAGCATGAGCGAGCTCGTGCCCGTGCCGAGGAGGACGCCGGAGCGGAAGTCCATGTCGATGTCCTCGTCGAAGCCGTCCTTGTCCGACTCTTCAAGGAAGATCTGCAGGGTGCGGTATATGCCGTGCGCGGTGCGCATGTTGAATGCTTCGCGGATGAGGCCCATCCAGTCGCCGCCGCCGACGATCCCAATGATGGCCTTGACGAGCAGCGTCTCGGCATATACGAGCTCGGCGTGGCGCTCGAGTGGGGTCATGTGCCGCACGCGCTGCATGCTCGCGCCGGGGCGCAGCTTGCCGAGCACGCCCTCAGTGGGGCGCCGGAGAAGCGTTGCCGTCGCCGTCGTGGCCTTGGCAATCTCGAGCGCCGACGCGAGGTCGTCGCTCCCGAACGTCATCAGGCCCTTGAGCGCCTGTATCACGCAGTGCCCGCTCTGGAGATACATGTGCTTGTTCTCGGGGTCGGCGGCGACAAGCATGTCCTCCGACTCCTTCATTTTGCTGGTGAGGAAGAGGCCGAGGACCTCGCGGCAGATGTCGAGATCGGGCGCGAGCGCGGCCGCCTGATCAATGTCCAGCGGGTTGCCGCGGTGGTACTCGCGGCTGATGACTTTGGCCGCGCCGGCCGCCGAGCGCGTGACCTTGGGCCCCGAGTCGCTGGACGGCACGATGGCCGCCGCGCCGACGATGCTCGCCGCGGTAGTGCCGGCGACGCTGGGCGCTGTTGTGACAGTCGCAGCGGTCGCGCTCGCCTCCTTGGCGTGCCCGTTGGCCTTGGGCTTGTCCTCCTCCGGCTCCTCCTCCTCCTCGAGGTCAGACAGACCCTCCGACGCCGTCCCGTAACCCAGGTCGTCGTCGCTGTCTGAGTCGTCGAGGCCCCACTGGGAGTAGAGGTTTTGGATGCGCGTGGGCGTCGACGCGCCGGACACGCCTGGTGTTGAGGACGCGGACGCAGTGGGCACGCCGAGGCGCTGGCGCTCGGGCGTCGCGGGCGCTGGGAATGCCGTGGGTGTCGCGGGCGTGCTCGTGCTGGGGACGGTCGACTGGGACAGGGGGTGCGTGTGTGTCCCGTTCACGCTGAGCGCAGCGACGCCGGCCGCGACGCCGGCCGTATCCGCCGACCCGTTCGCATCGGCGAGGCTGGGGCTGAGACTTCGGCTCTCGCTCTGGCTTTGGCTGTCGGCAGTGGTCTCCGTCGCGTGCGCGGAGCGCAATGACGCAGGCGGCGAGTCCGCCGCGCCGTCTGGCGCGGGCCCGCGGCTCTTCGGCGACGCGAAGATGGCCGAGAGGCGGCGCTTGCTCTTGACGCTGGGGTGAGCTGGGACATGTGTGCACGCACGCGATGGAGGGCTTGCGTTTTTCCGGCGTCGAGGCCGCGGGAGCCGAGGCGGGGGCCGGCGATGGAGACGGGGACGGGGAGGGCGAGCCGGCGCCGGAGCCAGGCGTCCATGCCGAGGGGGGGCGCGCGCGCGCACCCCGGACGTCGGAAGACGAGCTTTTGCGCGAGAGAGAGAACTTGCGCATGGGCATGGATGATGCGGATGAAGTGACTACCGCGAGACGATGGAGGCTGGAGGCCAAGAGATGGTAGGGAGGGGGCGGAACAAGTGTTGTTGGATTTGAGGATTAGGAACGGGTCGTCACATCAACGTGTCAGAGAATCGGCGTGTCGACGACAGGAACAATGTCTTTTCTCATCCGCCGAGGCGCGGATGCTCTCGCCGGGAACGCGGCATGCGGCACAGCTGTGCAGCGTGATACGATGCGATTTGTGCAGCTGCTTACGGCGTGTCTCGGCGCAAAGACTGACATTTGCGGGAGGCTCAAGGCCCGGCTTCAGTACACAGACTCATTGTCGCCCCAAATGTGATGCATGACATGCCACTCTCCTCGCACATCGTTGTCTTGCGCCGTTACTCGTCTCACCTCAGCAGGCAGCAAGCACTCCGCCCTCCGCCTGTATGGGCGTGGCACCTACCATACCCACCTGTCCACAGCATCGCAATTTGTCCACCCCCCCCCCCCGCTGGCGTCAAGACTCGGCCACACCACCTACCATACCCACCATACCCTACCCACCACACAGCACGACATTGACATGTTGCCTAGTACATACTTACGCGGCAGGGCTGCCGTAAGCCCGCATCTACTCTACCAGTTGTGTTGTGTTGTGCGCGTTGCATCGCATTGCACTGCAGTTGCCTTGCCGTGTCAGGTCTCGAGTACAGCTGGAAGTCATGGCGACAGGTTGGAGTCACGACACTAATACCGTGGCCGCTTCGAGTCGCGGTCCTCGTACCCGCCAAAGCCGCCGGGCGCATCAAAGTCGCGCTTGGGTGGTCCGCCGAAACCGTCGCGCGGCGCGTATCCGCTATCCCTCGCGCCGAAGCCCGGGCCGCCGGGGGGGCCTCCGAACCCACCGCGCCCGCCGCCGCCTCCAAACCCACCGCGGTCACCAAACCCTGGTCCACCACGATATCCACCACCTCCACCAAACCCGCCCCGGTCGCCGCCGAATCCCCCTCGCCCGCCGCCGCCTCCGCCGCGGAACCCGCCTCCCCTCCCGCCGCCGCCGCGGAAGCCACCGCGGCCCCCAAACCCGCCGCGGGGCGCGAAGCCGCCAAACGCCGGCGGCGCTTCGACGACGGGCTTCGGGCGCCCGCCGAGGCCCCCGCCCAGCCGCCGCGGCTTCCATCCTTTGACGGTGCGGCCGCGCTCGACGTCGACGATGATCTTCTTGTGGTGGATCGGAATGCCGTCCGCGTCCTTGTACGCGGCCTTCATGTCGCGCTCGCGCTCGTACACGATAAACGCGTAGTTGCGGGACTTGCCTTTGCGGTCGCGCACGATGACGATGCGCTCGATGTGGCCGTACATTTCAAACTCGTGGCGCAGGTCCGCCTCGGTCGCCTTGCTCGACAGCCGCGAGATGAAGAGGGTTTTGTACGGGTCGCCCATGACCTTCGGGTCGTGCGTCGGGTCCCCTGGCGTCAGCGCCGACTTTCGGTGCGGCGACAACTCACAGCTCGCCTCCGCGTCCTTCTTGTACGCGGCTTGGCGCTTGGCGCGCGCCTCGCGCCGCATCTTGACGGCCTCTTGCCCGATCACGCCTGCGGCGGCGATGGGGTCCTTTTTCCGCTTCGGCTTCTCGTCGACGTCCATCTTGGCCGCGGCCTCGTCCCCAGTCTCCTCCTTGCCCTCTGCCTCGGTCGGCTTGCCCTCCAGCCCATCCTTGTACGCCTTCTCCTCCGCCTCTTCGCGCAAGCGCTTCACGACCCCGCTGATGCCGGCCAGGCGGTCCGGCCCGCGGTCGCGGTCATCCTTCGCCAGCGGCTTGAGGTATGGCACGGGCGGGCGCGGCGCGAACAGCCGCAAGAGGTTGGGCGGGAGCAGCGCGGTCATGTTGTTGGTGATGAGTGAAATCGCGGATGCGACAATACGAGATGGGTGGTGGAGGCGCGAAAACGCCGGTGTGGCACTCACCTCCACCTCCACCTCCACCGACTTTGGCATCACACCATGCACAAGCGACGGCGACGCGCGCATGCGGGACAGTATGCGCCGGAGCTCGAGGCGCCGTACAAGCCGCCGGCGGCGGCGTATGTCCGCGCATACGAAGCGCAGCTCGTCGACGAAGCTCGCAATCCGGGCCTGATTCCTTGGGCTGGCGACGAGAGCGTCCTGGCGGACCGGTGAGTCCTTGCGAACTCTTAACAGTGAGCTGATCCCCAGCCACAACATTCTCCACCTCTTGCCCGACGTCGACGTGCCGTCGCCGCCGTCGCCTGGCTCAATCTCGAGTTCATGGACGATCCCATCTGACGCCGAAGAAGCGTTCGAGCTCTCGGGGGACGAGGAGGTGGCGGCGCACGCGCGCGCCAGGAAGCAGAAGTGGGTGGACGCGCTGCGTGAAGCGCGCTTGGCCGAGCGCGAGCGGGAGGACGAGGAGGCCGCGCTCGCGGAGGAGAAGGAGCGCGATGAGGAGGTGAGTGGGACGATAACGCTGGGCGACGCCCAGCACATAGCCAGCGCTGCTCTCGCTGGATATGCCGCTCACACCAGCCCCCACCCGACATCGCCAACCTCATGGCGCACACCGCCCGGAGCCTCGCCGCGTCGCCGAACCCCGCGATCCTAATATCTAAAATCATGGCCCGACACGCCGCGGACGCGCGCTTCACCTTCCTCCGCCCCGAAGGCGTGTGGGCGGGCGCATGGGCGCGCGCCCAGCTCGCGGCGGGGATCACGCTGCCGCCGCCGCCACCGCCTGCACGAAGCACGGCACGTGCGCTGCCCGCGCTCGGCGGGCTTGGCGGATATGATAGCGCGAGCGACAGTGACGACGGCGCGCGTCATGCTCCACCACTGGATCCGCCTCCACCTCCCGATTCGCCTCCTCCTCCACCGCCTGCCACACCTCCCCCTCCGCGATAGCCGCGGCAGTGGACTCCAATCGGGTTGCTTCCGAGCTTGTCGCAATGTATGTATTGTAGGGCACAGCCACGTCCACCCATGGCTCGCTGGCTCTCCCGCTGCTGGCCGATCGAGCCACAATCACAATCGCCAAGGTTGATGAGCCATGAACTGGCTCGAAAGAGTAAAGAGAGTTCGCTGGAACGGGAGAGGTACGAGTTGCGCCACGGCCCGGACATGGAGAGGCCCTTGATCACCAGTGCCGGACCATGCTGGAGAATAGGATCGGGGCATCGGGCCTGCAGGAACAGGCGGGCCAATTGCAGCTCCGAGACCGGCGGGACGGAAAGTCGGAGGCTGAGGAGGAGGCCGAGGTGGCCCACGCCCGAAGCCGACGCTTCGTACGTAATCTGCAGAGGAGGACTCGCGTGTACGCATGGAGAGGCGGGGATGCGCCACAGTACGACGCCATCGCCACACCTTGGCGTTTACCGTTCACGCGTACGACTCTCACGCTGCTCGGTCACAGTTTCCGAGGAGCATTCATCGAGGAGCATGTCCGCAGCGTCAAAGAAAACAGAGTTATTACTCCATTTGAATGACTGATTAGAAGAAAGTGGAGGCACCCCAGCCCTTGCATCCCTCGACATGGCGCCGCGTGTCCTGCAGCCTCAGGGAAGGAGGAGGGGGCTAAACTGTGGTTAAAAGAGCAGGCATGAGAAGAGAGGCCACGATTTGGTGGGCCAGGGCGATAGAGGGAGTTTTCAGGGAGACCCCTTCGAACATTCAGGATGCCACAGTAAGCGCGCGGCCTGAGGGACTAGTAGATGAGATGAACGTTAATAGACATTTGTAATGCGGTGTATGGACTCGTGGGCTAATTTAGGGAGAGGAATGTCCTGAGGCGTCGTGCCTGGTGGCCAGCCTCTGGCTTGCTGCGCTGACGGCAGCCTCTGCTCTTGCGCCTTGGTTTGCCACCGCCCTTCTCCCTCTGGGCTGATGCCTGAATAGGATGCCCTCGGCGGCGACGGCGGAGAAGGAGGGAAGGTGGAAGAGTGGCTGGGGGGAGTTGTCTCTCTCTCTCTCTCGACTTTCTCTCTCAGCTCCACTCATCCTCATCATCATCCTCGTCCTCCTCAACGTCCTCCTCCTCCTCCTCTTCTAGTTCTCTCCCTCTCTCTCTCTCTCAAAAACAACCCTCCCTCACACACTACGCATACACACATCCCTCTCTGTGTAGTCGCGCCGCGTTCAACCGTGCCCGTTTCGTCTTATCAAGCCCAAAGCGACGACGACGCACCACCACGCACCGACACTCGTCTCGCGCACACCCACGCATCCACCCGCCCCTCGTGCCTCTCTTTCTCTTTCTCTGCGCTGCGCTGCTCTGCTCTGCTCTGCTCGGCGCACCCCGCATCCCGCACACCCCCCCGTAGAGTCGTAGCCCGCCAAGCCCGTGGCACGCCCACAAAAGTCGGAATCCCCCCCTTTCCAGGCTCCGGCCCCCCGTTACTTTCGCCTCGCAAGCGGCCCTCCTGCATCTCTCATCTTCGTCAACCCCCTCATTGTTATTGTTTGTTGGCCACTCCCCGCCCTCTCTCTATCTCTCTCTCTCGCTTTGCTGTACTCGACACATTATCATCCAAGCCACCACCGTACACAGCCTCCCCTCTCCCTCCTCCCCCCCCCTCTACAATGTCCACTTCGACGGGGCAACGACCCCAGCCCATGCCGGCACCTGCAAACCCCTCCCGGCCCTCGGTCCGTAAAATGTCTACTTCCACTGCCTTCCGTCTCCCCTCCTACTCTGGGCGAGGAGGCTCCCCCATGTCATTCGGCGCCGCCATGTCCGGCGTCAGCTTTGGTAATTCAAACGCCATCAACATGTCCGGAGTTAGTTTTGGAAACTCAAACGGACGCTCTTTCCGCCAAGGCTCCTACGGGAACATGTTCTATGACGGGTGAGTCCACTTCGGGTGCGAGCGAGCGACTCCTCGTCCGCTCGGACCCGAAGCCCTGTGTGTACGGGCGCTGACTCCGGCGGCAGTGGCTCACCACGCCTCTTTGACTCGGCACAAATGCCATTTGGCCAGTCCATCAACATGGACGGCTCATTTGCCACCTCGTCCGCCGCATTCAACCTCGCCGGCTCCTACCGAGGAGGCCGGTCATACGCGGAGGCGGCCAAGGGCTTGGAAAACTACAGCCCCGCTATGCTCTCCTCTTCCCTCGCCTCGACCTCGCTGAGGGACCCCAACTATGGCTCCTACATGGGCTCATACAAGCGTAGCCAGCTCGAGAGAATGCTCAGCACCAGCGTCGGCCGGAACAAGGAGTCGGAGGAGGTCTATCAATGCTGTGGCAGCAAGTTTGTCGGCCTCCACGCTCTCACCGAGCACGTCGAGGAGAACCCAAACGACCACCAAGACGACCCCGAACCTCACAACGATGGAGGAATGTTCTCCCCTCTTGTCATGGGCATGGACCTCGATCTCGAAACCGACCCATACAATGTCCCTTCCACCACAAACTCTACACGCTCTTCAACTTCTCCTCGGCCCGTCCCCAACTATCCGCTCACCCCGACCAACTCGACCGCGCCCCGCGCCGAGACGGCGACCTCCAACGACTCCAGCACGGCCAATGGGCTCAAACTCTCCGAGTGGCTCAAATCCCCTACCAACAATGATGCCTCTTCGGTGCTCCCCGGCGCTCTTGGGACAGATGGCGGCAACGTTGTCGACCTTTCATCTGGAGTACCCAAGTTCGCCTCAGCGGTCCGTGGTGGCTTCAACGGAGGCAAGCCTCTTGGAGGTCGCCAGCGCTTCGACCGCGCCTTCAACGAGGTTGTCGCTGGCCGCGCTGGTCTCGAGGACCCCAACAAACCCCCAGGGCCCATTGCCGTGGCCCCGAGTGTTCTTTTCACAAAGGTCCCCGCCATGGGCCTTCCCCAGGCCTCTGCCGTTGTCGGCCGCCGCGAGGGCACTGTCGGTACACCTGCCGGCGCTGCCGCCGTCCCGGCCCCCGTGGCCACCAACGGTGCCGCCGCCCCTGTGGCGAACGGCGCGACAGCTGTGCCCGCCGCACCTGCCGCCGCCGCCGCCGCCGCCGCCGATGTCAAAAAGGAGGGAGAGGAGAATACCGACAAAAAGGACGTCGTGGCCGGAGGTGAGGCCCCGCCTCCCCCGCCGCCTGGTGCAAAGGCGCCGGATGCTCGAGCGGCTGACACGCCCCTCCCTCCGCCGTCCCTCTTCACCACACACAAGGCATGGCGCTGCCCGAATCCCGGGTGTAACAAGGCATACAAGCAGAGCAACGGTCTCAAGTATCACCTCGCCAAGGGCCAGTGCGACTTTGCCATCCACGACGCGATCGACAACGGCCTTACGCTCGAGGAGGCGGAGCAGCGTGCGCGTCCATACGTGTGCGCCGTCGGCGCCGGGTGCGACAAGCGTTACCGCCAGATGAACGGCCTCAAGTACCACTACTTGAACACGGGCGAGCACGGCGAGTACGGCCTGCGCATGCTGGCGAACGGCACGCATCCGCAGCCGGTCCACCACCCGCCGATGCCGAAGCGCGACCGGTCGCAGCAGCCGCGGAACAACGGTGCGCCGATCCCGAACGCCAACGCCGGCGGGGCCCCCGCCGCGCGCGCGAGCGCCGCGCCATACAGCGTGCCACAGCGCCCCACGGCCTCGGCGAACCTGGCGATCAACGGGCGCCCCGGCGTCGTGACCGGCGTCCCCGTTGGCGTCGGCGCCCCGAAGCCCCCCGGTCCGCGCATGGGCACATGGCCTGTACCACAGCGCGCGGGCGTGCCAACGCCGACGGCCCGCGCCGCGCCCACAGCGCCAGTGCCTGCGCCGGCCCCGGCCCCGGCGCCCACAATGCCCGTGCAGCGCGGCCGCGACGCCGTCCTCTTCTCCAATGTCGACTTCCTGGACGTCTAGTCCGGTGTATTTTTGGGCCCGACTGTGTCACCTAGGATTGTTGTCACCCTCCCATCCACCGGCACTCGTGCTGGTGTGTTGTAGCGCGATAGATGCACGTTTGCTTGCGAGGTGCGCGTCGGCGGGGGTGGGGGTGGACACGGATCATGTATGCGAGCACGGGCGTTGGGCCTGGACCAGTTTCTGCGGATGACGGCTTGACAGCTGACAGAGGAACAGGAACAGGAACGGGAACGGTGACGAGGACAGTGACGCACTCTGACGTCGGTTCACGTGCCGTCACGATGTGAGTCTTTGCGAGAGGGTCGGGTCTGAGCGAGTGGGTTCGAGAGATGGTGTCTGAAGGAGTCTCTGTGCGCGACTGCTCACACTAGGCCTAAGCGCCCCAGCGTGGCCGGAACATGTTTCGGACCATATGGCAGAGAGATCTATTGTTGCGCACGGCGTGCACGCTGTGCATGTGCACTTACAACCGCTCAACCACCACATCCATCGAGCAACAAGACAATCACTACGGGACCGATACAAGTGGTAGCTAGCCATTAGGCGAGGATCCGGAACAGAACGGGCGGGACACGCTACGCGCCGCCTTCGAGGTTAAGCTGATATACGTGGGCTATGGAGGTGAAAACTGTCCACTGCCCCTAGTTGGGTTCTGAGTGAGGTGGCGGTGTGGCAGCCGAAGAGATGCACGCCAAGCAGGCCTCGTGTATATTGAGCTGCGTGGGCGTGTTGCTCGGCTGCGTCCACCCTACTCCTGTGCGCGAGGGCAACATTGCACTAGCGATGTCTGTGTGAGAAGCGACCGGACGCACCGCGGAACACGCAGAACGAACACCGTGCACTGCTCAACCGAGCCAGTCGTACGTGCTCTGCTTTTGCTCTTCGGACGCGAGAATATGCGCGGCAAGGTGTTGGTCAGACACAGGTTCGTACCGTGCCGAAAAGTCGATTTCGCGCGCCGTGATGACGTACGGCGTCGAGCCATCGGCAATGCGGAGCGAGTAAACCAAGATGCACAAGGCACTCGACCAATCGCTACCCATAGGTAGAAGCTGGGGGTCGAAAGAGCCACGCGGGTCATCGCCACCTTCACGAACAATGCGCTGAACAATGTCGGTGCCAGGCAAGCCGACGTCGCTGAGGGAGGCGTTGTAATACGATGTTCTCAGGTTTTGCAGGAGCGCATTGTAGAGTTCGGCTAGCCGAGGCATGCGCACAGACGCAGCCGTCTCCCCTGGAGCACCGAGAGCTCGGAGAGGCGTGACGACCCTGGGCTGACGGTTCGGGCCGTACGCGCTTTGCCAGTTGACGTCTGTTGTGACAGCCAAACCGCTCACTTCGTTGAGAGAGTGAAGAACAATATCGAGGCCAATGTCATTGATGCTGTCCAGTAGGAATTCGCGAGACGGGTCGTTGGGCGGAATGGTCACTGGAACATCGATGTGGTACACAGGAATCGTGACACCCGGCGTCTGCGCCATCTGGAGGAGGAACGAGTACCGGCCAGCCAAGAGGTTGTCGAGAGGCATGGAGCTTCCATTAGCCAGGGGCTCGGATGCGGTGAGCGAGACGGAACCGTTGCGTGAATCGGCCGTGACCTCGATCGACAAAGGGGTGAAGGAGGGCACGTGAGGGATCGAGTTGTTGCGGTTCGTACCACGAATGGCGGACGTGCTGTCCCAGTAAGGTGGGTCTGCCGCCCAGCCGCCTGGGCCGCCAGAGTAACCACCAGATTGGCTGGCTACTGAACCGAACGAAGGAAGAGGCGACAGTGCACTCCGCACAGCCGACTGAGCGGAAGTTGCACCCCACTTTGGTTCAGGGTACAGAGGCGACCTCTCCTTCCAGTCGTACGTTGGGCTCGGCACTTCCTGCAACGGCGGCAGTGTGAGATCAGCGTTTGACAGCTGAGGCTTGACGTCCGACCAGGGCGCTCCGGACGGTTGGCGCGGTGACACGCCAGAGCCTTGTGACTGCTGTGCGTCATATGATGAGGTCGATGTCGGGGAGCGGGCGTGGTCGTCCCATCCGCCATTACCCATACGCGAGCGGGATGACCCTTGCGAGTAGCTAAACCGCCCAGATCCGAGGGCGTCACCTTGACCAGGCTCGAGGTCCCGCGGAAGTGGGAGCGGCGGAAGAGCGTGCGGCGGTGGGTACGGCGCAGAGCTCTGACGAATGGGGCCTTGTTGCGGCGAGTACTGCTGATAGTACGGATCACTGCCACTGATGGTGCGACCTTCTCGATCTTTGCCCTTGCTGTAGCTCGGGCCGCCGCCGGAACGATTATAATACGAGCCGTATTCAGAGGACGGTGGGGCGTTCCAGTAGTTGTAGGCACGGGGCGTAGAGGGGTCCATGGGTGGGGCTTGGCTATCGCTAACCCCAGCTTCGAGATCAAGAAGCCATGACGGCTTGGGCGCATTAGCGAGGTCTGTGCCTAGAGGATAGTTGATGATGGAGTAGATAATGTCGGGAAACTGGTACGTCTCGATGACATTTGCAGTCGAACTTTCCGAGGGCTCATCTTGACCACGCGCCTTGTCTTCAAAAGTGAAGATCTCTTTGACTGTGCGAATGTCAGCTGGCATTGACAGTTTGGGGGGCGTGTGACCCGGGGCGGGTGGCGTCAAGGGCGGTAGAAAAGTGACTCACACTGTGCGGGAACCTTGTCCTTGAGGACCTGGCTGTGACTAGATATCTGTTTGCGATTGTAGAGACGGTGTGTCGCTAGGGTGCAGATAGCAGCGATGAGTTCGTTGCGTCCGAGTGGGCGGCCAAAGAACTTGATCTTTGTGCGACCGTTTGGAGGGATAGCGGTGACACCTGTAGAGAGGTGGTCAGTGCGTTCTCGAAAGCGTGCGTGTGCGTGTGCGCGCGTGCGGGACAAGGGTAGTGGATACAGTGGGTAACAGTGGAGCTAGCCGAGGAGGAAGAACAAGATGTTTTGTGGAACGGAGCAAATTCGAGCAACAAGACGTCACTGCACCGAGGTCACACCCCGCCGGTGATATAGATGGACGGGCGTGACTCCATAGGCCAAGTCCATGACCAAGGGAGGCGCAAGGAATACAAGGAGGAGGGGGGGGGGAGGGATGGGGATGGGGGAGATTGAGTTGTATGTCAAGGGGCGATGGATGGAAAAAGACAAGGGCGATGGGAGATGACGACGATGTGGTGGTGGAGGGGTACAAGTGGATAATCATCGGGGGAGAGGGAAAGGGCGACTCACAGGTACAGAAAGCCAGTTCAGCTCTTGGGAACCAGATCTCAGAGACCTTTGAACGTCGTTGAACCTTGCGTCGCTTCTTTGCTCGAGCAGATGCGCCGCCTGCGCCTCCTCCGTCGCGGTCATCCACTTGGTCAGCCAGTGCGACGGGGTCATCCGGGAGTAGTGACCCCGCCACCTGTCCGTGCACATCGCCTCGTTCGGCGGGGTAACCCAGCTCTGGACCTGGAGCTCTGCCGACGACAAAGGTGTAGAGTGTTTCTGGCGAGCAGATGGGGTGCCCCCCCGCCGAGTCTAGAGGCGGTGCCGGTGGGGGCATCCTGGGTGGGGGAGTCGGGGAGGTGTTTGGTTTGCGTTCTAGCGTGTCCGAGTGACGAGAGGATTGACGATGGTATGGATGGAATGAGGAATGGGGGTTGCGAGGAGTCGGAACTGGGATGAGACGAAGAGAGGAATGGAAAGAAGATGGGGGACAAGTGTCAGCGGTGTGAGATTGTGGGTAGCGTGGGTAGGTAGGGACGGGGAATGCTATCGGGCTTTCAATAGAACTCGAAGAGTCTTGAGCATTATTATAATTGCGCCATTGCTCCGTCCGTTGCTAGCGTGTAATAAAATGCTATTTTCCCCGGAACGCCGCACTGAGACTCACTACTGTAAAAGTCGGCCTGCCTCGTCAAGTTTGTGGATGGATCGAATGTCACTCCTCCTGGGTGGGAGGGGTAGACGACGGAGGTTGGTGGTGCAATGTCGACTGTTGTAGGGGGGAGCAAGGCGAGTCGCCACCGAGTGTTTGGTGGATGTTGTTACACACCCGCGGGCCGTGTGGGGGTTGAGAGAGAGGGAGGAGGTTGGGAATGCGGGGGAGTTGAAGGGGGGGAGGGGGTGTGATGGCGCGCGGATTGCAAAGCTAATGGTGAACTCTTGGAGAGTTGGTGTAGCACGAGGGGCAGATGATTCCGTGGCACGGCACGTGTTGGGGGGGGAGTTGGGGGTGAGGGTTGGTAATGGGGGATGAGGGATGGTCGAGGTATGGAGGAGTGAGTGGGTGGTGGAGAATGATGATGATGATGTAGAAGCGGAAGTGGATGTGGATGGCGATGGCGATGGCGATGGAGATTGAGATGGAGATGGAGTGAGGCTTTTGTGTATAATAAGGGAGGGGCGGAGACCAGGTAGGTGGATAGCGAGGGCGCGAGGAGCGACGGGGTTGTGGTCTGTGGCCTGTGGAGAGCTAAGGGATGCGGGGCAAAAGTGAGAGGGAGGGAGAGAAGGAGAGAATGCAAAGGCAATGCAAAAGGTGCGTGCGGGGGTCACCTGGGGGGGGGGGGGCTGGGGGGAGGGCTGGAGGGAGGGAGGGAGAGCACAGGTTTGGCCGAGGAAAATGCGAAGGGCTGTTGAAGGGCACTGGCTCCTCCTCACTTCTTGCCACTGACCGATGCTTAGCTTTTGGTCTTGGGCCGACCTATGTGTGATGCCGATGCCGTTGATTCGACCCAGTGGATTGGAATCGCGCGAGAGATGGGGACTTGGAATGTTGGACGAATGTATGAATGTATTATGGGTGGGAATGTGCAAGACACGCGCCAGTGGATTGCGATGGATTGATGATGATGATGAATATGGTGGCCGGTGGGAGGAATGCTTGTGGGAGAGAGAGAGCGAAGAAGAGGAGGGTGGTCGATGATTCCAGAGGCTCCAGAGGCACCAGAGTGCAGAGTGTAGAGTGCAGAGTAGAGCGAGAGGTTGCACAATTCAGAGTGGTCACCGTCTGACCGCCGACTAGTGCAGTAGATGACACAGCTGATGATGGGCGGCGGCGATGATGGTGCAGACGAGCCAAGGGTATGCCTTGTTCAGGAGGATTGCGTAGAGGGTTTTGTCTCCTAAGGGTTGATCAAGCGGCCAACGGTGATGAGCGGTGGAGGGAGGTGGAGGGAGGTGGAGGCGCCGAGGGCGCTACAGCCGAGGCGGCAATGGCCACCAGAGTCCTAACTCTTTACTTTTGATCTCTTTCATCTCTCATGCTCTCAGTTTCTTCTCTTGTTGTTCTCTCCGCTCTTTGCTCAATCAAGGTCCCATGGTGCCATGGTAACCCCTTTTCGTTTCCATTTCTGAATTTCCCTCCTCCTTGCCTCGCAATCAACCCCTGCGGCTTACGAACGCGCGGACGCCTCCTCAACGATCACACCGCGAGGTAGCTCGACGCCATCAAAGAGTCAGCTGCCATCTGCCAGCTGCCATCTGCCAGCTGCCGGCTGCCAACCAGCAGGTGGTCAAGCTGGCCGCCATGGCCAAAGCTGGCGTCATGTCAGGTGTAGGTTCAAGCCAAGGGGAAAAGAGGAGCGCCGATGTGTCGAAGCGAGGTGGCCGTGGCAGAGGG